TGTATAAGAGACAGGTGCGGAGGCGCTGGGAGTCCCTCCCGCACACACACACGCACACACACACGCACACACGCGGAAGCGCACCCCGGCCTGGCTCGCAGCCCGCCGCCGCCCCGGCGCAGCCGTGCAACATGGCGCTGGTGCCCTGCCAGGTGCTGCGCGCCGCCATCCTTCTGTCCTATTGCTCCATCCTGTGCAATTACAAAGCCATTGACATGCCCGCGCATCAGACCTATGGAGGCAGCTGGAAATTTCTGACCTTCATAGACCTGGTAAGTGCCCCCGGCGCCCGTGGCCCTGCCCCCTCCCTCAGGCTGCCGGTGGAACGGCCGCGGCCCCGCTCGGGCTCACCGCGGCCCCCCGAGGCGGCGGCCCTGCTCGACGGCAGCGCCATGAGGTGACCTTAAAGCGGGGACGGCGACATTTGTGACTCCAGGGCCGGCCGTGAGAGGAGACGGCCGGACACCGCGGCAGCGGAGCCCGGTGGTTTGAGCGGAGAAAGACACGGACAAAGCCGAAGGGCTGCTGCGTGTGAGAGGCCGTGGGGAAGGGGCGCCTGACGCCCCATCACCGCGGTGCTGATGCTGTGTTTTGCCTTCTTTAATGGCTGACAATAAACACCAGAACCTGCTGGTCCCGGCATCTGGCTGCCGGGGGCTGTCAAAATAGAAAACATGTCTTGCTCCCTTTGACCTTTCTGAGGAATCCAACTCCGACAGGTGCCAGCGTGTGAGAGCTGACACGAAAAATGTTGGACAACTCAACTTGCCGGACCCAGCTAGTTTTGGTTGCAAATCCATAAACGACCCTACAAAACAAAAGATGTTTCATTTCGTTTTTCTTCATAAGGGTCCAGATCTGGAACAGTCACAAGCATGCTGGCCTGCTGGAAGACACCAGGTGCAGGCCTGGGGCTGCTTTTGCCCTGAGCTTCCTAGCCTTGATGCCTCCACAACAGTGCTTCCCTAGTGCAGGTGGGAGGAAAGGGGGCGGGAGATCGGAGATGGGAGGAGAAACTTGGTGTCTGCTTCAGAAACACCATAGTCAGCTTACACCTAGTACTTAGATCAAAATAGGTTTTTTTCATTGGATCACAGGGTAAATAGGTGAGAAATTCTGCAGTTCCTACCAAGTTACAGAAAAGTCCCAAAATTCAAGTATTGCAGGACTTCCCAGTGATAAAACCCCTCTCAGAATCTCACTGTAGATTCACAAGTACTGCTATTGTTGCCTACTCATTTCATATCCAGTCAGTAGGTTGAGTTTGTGAGTTTGGAGACCAAACTCAAACACTGTTAACCTGGCAGGTCAAGTGTCCAAATTTCTGTATTGGGATTAAGCTAAGGTTCAATGAGGCCCATATTTTGTTTGGAGGGAAGCAGCACCTACTGTATTTTGCATTTAGCCAGGATAATTTTTGTGTTGGGTGCCAAAACTTTGCTGGATTGCTGAGTATCCACAGCTATAACTAGTGATTTTACTGTGAGCATCTTAAGGCCTGTTGTTTTACTGGAAGGCAAACTAGAATATGGTTGGGGTTTTTTTTCTTTCCTTTTGGGCTGCTGAACAGTACTGTCAGTAATATTAGCTGATAGAGGTTAGCATCAAGTCCCAGTAAGTTAGGGGGGAACTGTTGACTTTAGTGGCAGTTGAATTGGAAGCAAACCAACTAAAGCTAAAAGTTGATGATCTTGTCTTTGAGTCTTCTTCACCTTTTTCTCTATTCTAGTCCTGACGGTCACTTGAGGATCAAGTGACCTAAGGCTGCCATGCAGTGAAAATAACATCTGACAGTATGTGATATTCATAATTTCTCAAAAATTACTGCCTGCTGTCTGTGGCAAGTTCATGTGGACTTGCCCATCAAAGCACACACATGGTTCAGGCTACTTCTGTCATGGCCCAAAAGGGCAAGGGTAAATAGTGCTTTGTAAAATGTCTACAATAGTTACCAACTGTATTTAGTCATTTCTGTCTTTTAGCTAATAGTTGTCATGTGTTTCTCATAGTCAAGTCAGATAGTTGAGAAAAGGTTAGTAGTTCCTTACAGTCTTCAATCCTTCCATGTAACACACAATTCAAGGACTTGAATGCCTTTCTTGGTGATTAGCCAGCACACAGACCTCTCCACTTCCTGACAGTATTTATTTATGTCCATATGGCCCTGGTAGCATCTTATCTAAGCAAATCTGTATCTTTCTGTCTCTTGGAACAACTGGGAGACTTGAAGAAACAAAACCTGTTAAATTCCTGAGGAGGATACCAGGAGGTGTGGTTAGAGGATGTTAGGCATATTTCCAAAATACTGTATGTTGACTTAAGTCTTGAAAAGCTCTTCCATAAGTTTCAGTTTCCTCAACCATGTGCAGTGTGCCTGTGTCAGTCACATTCAAAGGCTGTCTAGACAAAATACCATCAATGCCAGAGTCTTGGCAGACGTGAGTGCTTGCTACAGATTGTACCTCCACAAGCAGAGATTTCATCTTTGACATCACAGAAGCACGTAGAAGTTCTGTTTCCAAAAAATGCTACCAGTTTTTGAGAAAAGTGAGTTTATGACTTGAATCTGAGAAGTAATTTTTTTATTTTTTTAATCTGTCCATTTGTAAAAGGACATTCCAGTCTCAGCATCAATAAATGTCTTCAAGATTTAGGTAGCTGGCTTTGCAGAGGTGCTGTGTGAAATGATTTACACTTATCTGCAGGCAATATAATTTTGAGTTGAATTATTAAAAACTTGTAGTTTGGACTCTAAAATACAAGACATGGTAAAGTATTCTAAATGTATTCATTGAAGAGTAGACTTACATCCCTCACACTGTTTACAGAAGTTGAGCATTATGAGGAAGTTGCTCAAAACAAAGCTAAAGACTGTAATATCCCTGTAATGTCCGTCTATAATATTTAGGATGTTCATACCTACATAAGATTTTCTTGGATGCTAATATTCATGCTTAATCTCTCCTGTCCTTGAATTAAGAAGGAAAGTAAGCGCAGCTGATTACTTCTTTAACTGCTGTCATTCTGATGACTCAGTTTTTTTGCAGTTGCGAATGTGGTGGCAACATTCCTAAAACACCTATGTTAGTTAAGTATTTTTCTGGTTTATGAGGCAATGCACTGGAAGTATGTTTTGCTGTTACACTGTTATACTGGTAATGCTTCTCACTGTTGTTGCTAACAATCATTTCTCCACTTCAGACTTTCTCCCTGGTATGGAGAGGTGGTAGATACTTATCCTGCTTATTCAAAAGATGGTAAAGATATCTGCCTAGTACCTGTGGATTCCAAAACACTTCTGAAAAGAGACCAGTATCTTTTTTGTCATTTATAGAGTGGGAAACTGAGGTACAAAGAGGTTAAGAGTTGCTACCCAGATCAGTCAGTGGGCCCAGGAGATCTGATTATTGAACTGAACATTCAGTCTAGTTCAGAACTACATGTTGCTTTCATTTAGCCTCAACACAAACCAAGCCCTGATGTTAGTTCCTGGGAAAATGACAAAGAACTGGATTCAAACAGGATATTTCAAGAGGTGTGCTTAAAATTTCTTGTATAGCTGTCTTTGGCAGATTCACCATTTTAGGCTTTATTAGTGGACTGCTGTAGGACTTCACTGTCCAGCATCACAACCCATAAATTCATTGTTGAACCTCATAGTTGAAAGTTAAGTTAGGGTGAAAATGGTACCAGTACAAAATGATTCTTTGCAACAAGTTTGTCAGCTGTGTAAGTCACTCAGAAATTTTCCCTACTTGTACCACTCTTTATTCAGTACTCAAAGTAGCTGAATTAAAGGTAATAGTACTTGAATTAAAGATAACTAGGTCACCCTGCATACACTGCAGTCACACACCTGCCTTTATAATGCATATTGAGGGATCTGTTGCACCAACTTGTCTAAAACGGCAGGACGCTTGCTGTCTCAAGGGTTAAGGTCTTCTTTTTCTCTTGGCTCTCTTAACAGTTCAGAGAAAGCAAAAACAAATAGAATTTGTATTCTGGAATAAAATGGAGCCTGTGGGTGCTGAAAGAAGTCCAGTTCTCCTTCTTATGTTTGGGTGTGTGTGATGATTTGCAGAAAAGTAGCTTAAAGTAAGTATGTATCTCCTTAGTAAGAGATGCACTGGTCTAAATAGCTTCTAGTTTTCGTTGTGCAGTTTCTGTGAAAACCTCATTCCTCGAAGCTAGAGTAAACCAAGATACTATTTCACATACATATGCATGCATTAACAAAATACTGTTTTGTTTTTTTCTTTCAATCTTAAGGTCTCTCTGATAGGCTGAACAGGGTAGTTACAGAGACAAAAAGCAAGGCTAGATTTTTGGAAGCAGTCTTAAGTTTTATGTTTTATGATTATGATTAATGATCCTGTTTTGAATAACAGAATGTTAGTGTGGGTGTTCATATGACTTGATTCAGGGCAGCCAGAGCTAGAGAGGAATTGATTTTGCTCATATATAAATCTACCTGTCCTTATACTTTTATTATTCTCTTGAAAGAAATAGCAGGATGTCCGTGTATGAACTTTTATACATTGTCTGGAAGACTGAGTTCTACAAAACCAGGTATAAACTCTGTTCCCAGCACATTTTTTTGCTAGTACATGTTGTGTTTGTTTTGCAGAAAATGCATTCAGATTTAGTTTAAATAATGATCAGAACTTAGTTCGGGTTTTGTCTTTGGAAAATTTCAGAAGGGCATGCTTGCAATAGGACTAGAAACTAGAGTTGGTAGATTTGTAATTTACTTATTTAGTGTATTTAATTGCTTATTAAATTATATGAGATATGGTTACTAGACAACAAAAAAAGATATCGGCTTAACAAAGCATGACTAAAAATTTTAGATGGTTTGTGCCCAGTTTGGATTTAATCATGCTGGTAGGAAATAAAATAACCAAAAAATGTCAGAGGCCAGAAGATTCAGAATTAAGGAATAATAAACTGTGCCACTGGTGTGGTATCTAAAGTTGAGCAAGTTTTGTTGCTAACTGTATGGAACCACAACACAGAGGACAAAAGTAAAAACACATTCCACACTCTATGGAATATAACTATGACTCTTTTTCCAGGATTTCCTTTAGTACAGTGAATTTCACCTTCTGCTTTCCTCTTTCATCATGTGTAAAGGTACCTTGATATTAAAGTGTTTTATGGCTTTTGGGTGAAAAGATTACAGAAGTGTAAAATATTATTATGTATTATTCCCAGAGGTAATTCATCACCATGTCTAAATATCTCAGTGTTGTTAGTATAACAGAGAATACAG